CTTTCATTTTTTCATTAATTGTCAAAATTCGATTGTGTTCCTCTCCATGGTGGGCTAATAGCGTCAAACAAATTGCATATGTTAACATATAGACGATTTCAGGCCTCCATCCTCTTTCAGTCTCCTAGCCTGGGATATTCATTGTTTGTATCTTTAAAATTTCTGAAACACTTGTTGGAAAGTGGTTCTCGTACTAACATCATTTACCTACTGCAAAAGCTGTTGATGTCATCTTCTTTCGAGGATTTCTTATAAGCAAGCTAACACCGTTTTCTACACTCAGACATGTGTCGGTCCCATTTTACCATCGAAATTAATAAACGAACCGTAAAGCGGTTAGCTGTTTTAGTGACGGAATTGAACTCATACCCGGTTTGAAAATTTTGGACTCTCCATAGAATGTTAATAAAAAATAATTGCCTGTTAAAAACGATCAAAAGAACCTCCTGTGCTTTTTGACTTTTTCTTTTAAAAAGCCAAAATTTCAATTTTATCTCAAAAGATCTTAACAAGTTTCGGACTTAAGAAAACGAACTAAGGTCACACCTGCCCAGCAACGTACGGGAATTTTTGCTGTTGCATGTTGCTTAAACTGTAGACTTTCATTTCTCTGGATCGAACAATGATGGAGCATGGTCTTTGATTTTCCAAACGGATCACATATCGCCACTGAAATTTCAAAAAATATTGCCAATTCAAATAAAGACTTTCCAAATCGGCTGACATTTTCAAATTACTTGAAAAGGCACAAAAAAAAAAATCAAATAATAACAAACGATACGACAAAAAAAAAGCTTAAAACGCAGTTATATTACTGTACATAATTCTTCAGTTAAATGCTTTAAATTCAAACCACTTGCAGTTAGCTCATAAATAATTCTCCGGGGAATTAATTATCCACAACCCATAAATTTAAAATGAATCAAGCAAGCATCTGGGCAGTAATGTGTACCTCATTATAGTCTAGAAGAGAAACGTCCGAGATGAGGGGAAAATATAAAAAGGGCATTTCAAAACCGCTGAATCCTTTCCTTGTTGCCAAAACCGTTAAGCCAGAAGTTCCCTCAGGGGACGGAGTGAACATCAAAATTGGTACAAAGCTAACTATCGAATTACATCTGGTTCAATATTTAAAATAAATATCGAAGTAAACAAACCCAATGCTTCTGTTGTCCATTTGTCACATTTAAACCCAAGTAAAATGTTGTCACTGTTACCTGCAAAAAGAAAATAACAGCATAGCTGATAATTCCAAAATCGCTGTTTCCAAATTTTAGCAAAAAATTTATAATGTACCATTACCAAAAACTATCGCTATTCACAGATTTCTATTGCCAAAGCAATCGGAATAAAGCTACCTTTATTCCATCAGTGGTTTCCCGATATACCCAGTGTGGTGTAAGCTGGTTCAAAATACAATTTGAATGCTGAGTGATCAAGTAGCTCGGCTCCTTGCGCACCGAAAATTTGGCATCTGCAAAAAAAAGACGCAAAATTTTATTCCGCCAAGGTGAATGTCAAAAGTTCGATAACAATAATTATATTAAGAGGATAAAAGGCACACACACACACACACACACACACACAGATCTAATTGGCGGTTTGCATTAGCTGAAGGTATGCAGCCCAGGATCGAAAGCTTAGCATAATTGCGCAAGGCCTATGAGCAAGACCAAATCGTCGCTGGAATTTTTGCCGTCCATGAGTTTTTTAAATGAGTTTTTAAACGAATTTCAAAAGAATTTTTCAAAATGAGTTTTCGAATGAGCTTTTTTCATGACATTTAAATGAGTTTTTTTTCAATCCCTCAAATCTATTAAAACCTAAAAAAAAGAATTGTTAGCGAATCACCAATAAAGAACAGCCAGAAAAAAAGTGTAATACATTTTTCGGAAAAAAGGTGATTTATCGTTTCTTATAAAAAATAAAAAAATACCATCGTCGGGTGAAATAATGCATTCAAAAAGTCCATGGAATAATTCATGTGCAATAGGTTCGGGATGGCGTGTTCCGTAAGGTATAATTTCCTCATGTGGTACACAATCCATGCCGAACACAACATTAAGCATCTTTTCGCCATGCACCGTACCAGCATCTTCCAGATAGGAAGTTAGATCAACTGGGAAATGCTAAAATAGTAGCGAATTTTCAATATTTCCGTTCCTATTAATCTAAAGACAAATATTTTCACAAAAATCAAGAGGAATTTCAATATTTCAATACTAGTGAATCAGATCAAAAAATTGCAAAATAAATCCTCTAACTGTTCTTCGATTTCTGTAGCTCAATCGTTGTCCCGTAATTTTCAAAAATTTTCAAGTTTTAAAAACGCCATGGAGCAGCAGAACGGAAATTCAATTTCAGCTTTGTTAGCTCGAACCCAAATAATTAGCTGAGGAAAACTAAGCCATACCATATATTTCCAGTCGCCGCAGT